TGTGCCAGGATTCACCAGCAGGGGGCTTCAAAGAGTGCTGTAATTCAAATAAAAAATTATCCTTGTTTATCTATTGAAGATTCATTTAAAATTTTTAAAATAGGTTCTGTTAAATTAATGAATATAGCATTTATTCACTTGTGCATCAATTATAGACAGTCAAAATATATTTTCCTTTTTCAGTCATTAACCCTCAGACAAACCTTTTCAGGGAAGATTGAGCCCTTTTTTCTTAATGTGTATAATTTTATCTGAATCTCGAGGTATTTTACAGGCCAGTGTGTTCCAATTAATGTTCACAAAATACATAATAAATTAATAAAATGCAACAAGACATACAGAAATATTCTAACTCCTACTGTCCCGTTTGTTGTAACACGATGCAATCAAGAATGGTAGAGTACTACTTACTAAAAGCCCAGTGGATGGCAATTTTAATCTGACTTTAATCCCTTCTCCTAAGTGAATATACTGTATGGTGACAATTAGAGACTGAAATAAATTGAATTTAAATTCTACCAATTGCAATCAATGTAGAATAAATATAAAAATATATGGTTTGTCAACACATAGCTTGTCAAATTCCAGTTTGCCTTCTTATCATTTATTTTCAACAATGGCTTCCTCTTTAGATGTCTCCCATCAAGTCCAGTTGGGCATACTGACAAAAGCAATGCTGCAATACATCAACACCCTCTGGCTATCAACAGCAGGCAAGGCAGGATAAATGCCTTAACAGAGCAGGGGATCAAACTTTAAACCCACTGATAATAGGTTAAAGAAATGTACGTCTCAGAAAACACAAATATTACATTAGATCTTTGAAGATTTTGTTACAAAACAGAAAAATCTGGGTTGTACAAAGAAAGTTTATTTCCAGATTTATCCACCTTTGGATGCTCTTAGGCTGCAGGAAGTCTAATGGAGAAAAGGGAATGTAGAGAATGAACACCATGAGTGGGAATCACTGCTTAAATATAACCCCAGAACAGTAATACTTCCTCATTGTCACACGGGTTATCTTTTTATCTCGACCTGAAATGCCCTTTGTCCTTCTCTGGCTCACACGACTGCAGACGGTGACAAAGAGCTCGTGAAAAAAAACAGATTTGTTTTAACACTTGGTTTTGTTTACTTGACTCTCAGCAGGAATACCTGCACTGCCTGTCTTTCCTTATAATAGTCTGAGCTGTGCTTCCCCTTGCATTCACTTGAGCCGTGTGCTGTTGTTGGCTCATATTCAAAAACAAAAAATATTTTATCAAGAAAAGAATTTCCCCATTTTTTTCTTCCTTTTGCTATATTAAGTCTCTAAGGACACACCTTTTGGGGAAAGGTGCACAGGGACTACATGTCATACTAAAGCCTTTTGGTATGCAACCATTCAAACAGGTGGGTTGCTCAACCTGTTGTACTGTATCTCTCCCTCACACTATAGGTATGCTCTACTGATAGAGAATGCTGATAAGTACTGCCGAGTGTACACCATGCTGAATTTCCGGCTTTTTATTTTAAATGTTGGTTGATTTATCAAATTGTGTTTGCATGAAACAAAATACTTAAAATGCTCTAAGATAAAAATCTGTGAAATGATATGAAAGAATCTGTGAAAATAACCTCAAAATTTTCCAATACTACAAATAAAGGTTTTCGGTCTGGCAAGACTGTTAAATAGTCCAGAGAAACTGAAAACATCTGAGAAAGACAAAAAAGTACAATTTATGCTACTTTTTTAACTGCTGTGTTTGTGAAAACACAAAGAATGAAATAAAATAATAGGAATTTTCATGTGAACAGTTTGTGCACGTGGTGACCTCTGTGCGTCATGTGATTTAACGACTTGTAATTGTGAGAAAAGATTTATGAGTAACATTTGATTTCAGTGAAGCTTCATTAGCAGCCATGCTGCAGGATCTACCTCATAAAAGTAACACTAGCCCTGTCATGCAGGCGGGCTGTTTGTGAGGAGTGTGCAAACAAGAACAATAAAAACATATAATGAATATTTACTATGTTCTGCACCAAATGCTGTGAAGCCACTGTTCTATAAAATGTGGACTCATCTGCCAAGCAATTCTTTGCCTCATTCCTTATGAAATGATCTCTGAACACTGTATTCTTCACAAAGACTCATATTGTCCCATATATATGTCACAATGTTCTTAATTAGGGAAATGTATCCATATGTTTTAGAGAATAAACATTTTGCCTCAACAACATCAATTTATCTATACAGCTCATTTACTGTAATCCATCCATTCATCTTCTTCTGCTTATTCGGGGTCAGGTCGCGGGGGTACAGCTTCAGTGTTGAGATCCAGACGTCCCTCTCCCAAGCCACTTGGGCCAGCTCCTCTGGGGGAGTCCCAAGCGCTCCCAGGCCAGCCGAGAGACATAGTCCCTCCATCGTGTCCTGGGTCTCCCCCTGGGCGTCCTCTCGGTGGGACTTGCCTGGAACACCTCTCCAGTGAGACGTCCAGGAGGCATGATAAACAGATGCCCAAGCCACCTCAACTGGCTCCTCTCGATGTGAAGGAGCAGCGGCTCTACTGTGAGTCCTCCCCCGATGACTGAGCTCCTCACCCTATCTCTAAGGGCCCAGACACACTATGGAGAAAACTCATTTCAGCCGCTTCTCAATCTTTCGGTCATGACCCAAAGCTCATGACCATAGATGAGGGTAGGAACGTAGATGGACCGGTAAATTGAGAGCTTTGCTTTTTGGCTCAGCTCTCTCTTCACCACAACAGACCGGTACAGGGCACGCTTCACAGCAGATGCCGCACCAATCTGCCTATCGATCTCGTGCTCCATCATCCCCTAATCCGTGTGATGGGTGGCAGTCGATGGTGGAGATATTGGCCTTCTGATCCTCAGTTAAAAAAACTGGCTCTGGGGACATGGAACGTCATTTACTGTTAATCTTTTAGAAATATTTTTTTCTTTCCATGGCCTTTTAAAGGGTGAGGAGCTCAGTCATCCAAGTAGGAATTAGAGTAGAGCCGCTGCTCCCCCTCATATACTGCTGTATATCAAATAAATGTTTATTCAAGCTCAATACCCTTTAAAAAAATAAACAAAACCATACTTTTTGTAATGCCTCACACTATTTCACTCTCAGTCAAGTTGTTTAGGATATATAGGACTCATGCTTAGGTATTTTTCATTCTTACCTGAACATAGTCATTCTTTTATGATGCACCTTTCACAACTGAAAGCACTCTCTGACATGTTCATTTTAATCTACTTCAACAACTTGCTTAGTTGCTTCTCCCACTCATGTCTGTATTTTGCAAGCACTTTTTCTGAGGAAACTGCTCTAACTAACCACAGATGGCACAAAGGAGTATTGCTTATATGTATATATATATAATATAAGATCACAGTACAAGATCAATAGAGGCCGGGGTCTACCACACCAGGCAGGACCCCCGGAGCAGACTGTGCAAAGATGCCTCTGAAACAATACAGCACATAACAGCAGGGTGTAAAATGCTGGCAGGAAGTGCATACATGGAACGCCACAACCAGGTAGCTGTCATAGTGTACAGGAACATCTGCCATGAATATGGGCTGGAAGTCCCAAGGTCAAAATGGAAGACACCTCCTAAGGTAGTTGAGAATGACCGAGCTAAGATCCTATGGGACTTCAAGATCCAGACTGACAGCAGGTGATGGCTAACCAACCAGAAATCGTGTTGATCGACAAACAGCAGAAGAAGGCACAAGAAGCTTGAGAAATACCAAGGGCTGAAAGAGGAGCTAGAAAAGATGTGGAAAGTAAGAGCAGCAGTGGTGCCAGTGCTAATTGGAGCACTGAGGGCTGTGACCCCAAACTGGGAGAGTGGCTACCTCAGATTCCAGGTAAAACATCAGAGGTCTCTGTCCAGAACAGTGCAGTCCTAGGAACAGCTAAGATACTGCGCAGAACCCTCAAACTCCCAGGCCTCTGGTAGAGGACCCAAGCTTGAGGAAGACACATACCACCCTACGAGGGGTGAGAAAACAGTTAGTTATATATATACATATATATATATATATATATATATATATATATATATATATATATATATATATATATATATATATATATATATATATATATATATATATATATATATATATATATATATAAAATTTTGGTTTATTTACTATTTTTTTCCCAAAAGGGAGTACCAGTTTTATTTAAAAAGATTATTCTTATTATTATTATTTGTTAAAGCAGTTAATAATTTTCAAGTGACGCTTCTTTAGTGTATCCCCTACGTAATGGCACGTAAAAGGCGACATATTAAATATATTATAATAAACTTTCTGGAGATTCTCCTTGTTTGTTCTTTGCAACAGTGTTCAGGAAGCGCTGAGAACTACACTTCCCACCATGCCTTGCGAGGCAGCAGCTGTGCGCTCTTGCTTTGCCCGCAGCAAACTGATGATAACACGCCGAACAAGATAGAATGAAGGAGCGCTGAGTTGTTATTTTTTTTTTTTTTCATTTTTATAATCCCTAATTTCGGCTGGTGAAAATAATGTCCAACTCTATGGAGTAGCGCGATGGCTGTCGAAGGTAGGGCTGTTTTATCTGTGTTATTATGCTGTTTTTTTGTTTGTTTGTTTGTTTGTTTGTTTGTTTTTTTGGTTGGGGGTTAATTAGTTACAGTTGGTTGTTTCCAGCATTGAACCCAGCCCGCTGAGCTGTGATTGGAGATATGGCAGTGATATTGCTGTTATAGCTCCGTGGAAGTGGAATGACACACCGCTGGTATTGTCCACACAGTCTCTGTATGGCGCGGCTCCTGCTGGGGAACAGGTCTTTGCATAATCACCTCCGGCTTTACCTGCAGTTTCGTGTTCTCTGGCGGAAGAGCCGCAGTAATTGAGCTCTTCTTCCCTCATATGTCATTATATATTGTATCGTTTCATGCGTTTGGATGCAATACAGAGCGCCCTGCGTGCGTGCGTGCGCGCTCCGGCTGATCTCCGGGTCTAGTCCGTCTGAAGCTCCTCATGTGAGGCAGCAGGTGTTCCTACATGTGGACTGAAGGAGTCACTCTCTCCTCCTCCCTATTGGCACATTCCAGTTAAGGTAACAGCCTCTGAACGGTTTGGAGGTGCAGAAACGACCTGCAGGATGCTCGGTCAGTCTCCCCTCCTCATCGGTGGCATTTTATGGATGGAGAACCCGATGAGAGGTATGTTGGCGATTCATGCTTGCGCTCCCGGATCTGTGCTTCTGCATGCAGACATGAGACTGGTGTTACTGCATTCAACCCATTAGGTTATTTGTCTCTGACAACCTTTACATTGGAGGCGTTGCGCCATATGACCTTTAAAAGCCTCCCTCAACAATTAAACAACATAGAACGCAGTTTTATTTAATATTTTACCAAGTCACAAACCCCTCAGAATAACGGGGTACATGGGGATTGTAAAGCTGGAGTTTTCTAATCTTACTTTGCATCTCATGGTGTTCACACACTGCAATGTTTTCCACATTTTGCCATCTTACTTCAATTCAATTTAGGTTATTTATATAGCACCAATTCACAACACATGTAATCTCAAGGCACGATACAGTTCACCAGATCATACAGTCAAATTGATTCAAAGTTTTCTATTTAAGGAAAACCAGTTGATTGCATCGACTCATTGACTAATGCAATCCCTCACACTAAGCATGCTTGTAGTGACAGTGGAGAGGAAAAACTCCCTTTTAACATGAAGAAACCTCCAGCAGAACCAGGCTGAGTGTGAGCAGCCATCTGCCGAGGCCGACTGCGGTTCAAGGAGACAGAAGCAGAGATACAAACTGTAAAAACAGGAAACACACAGTAAGGCAGACGAGCTCCGAGCCAGCTCCCATGTCAGAGGATCCTAAAACTGTAATGCTGCACGTTTTGATTAAATATGATTAATCAACATTAAATGGTTAATGTTTTTTGATATGTAAGATAAATGTTGTTTGTATTTACAACAACACATCTCGGTATGTGCCTCCACAATTGTGTTATACATTCTCAAAAGCTTGTATTCTGGACTTTGACTGGGCCTTTTTAACACATTCATATACATGGAATTGGCTGTAATAAAAGTCCAATTGGAAGGTTAACCTGAAAACTTTTGCAGTCTCTCTTTGTCTTTTTTTTTAATCCTTTTTCTCTTAAAGTCGTAGGGAAGTCATATTTGAATATCAAATATATAAATGTACTCTTTATCACATCATATTTTAGCAAAATTTAGAAAATTTCTATTTAAAAAAATCCAATCTTAAAATCTGTGGGGGGATTTTTCGATATTTTATGCAGGCCAGTTAGTTATATGTCAGCTTGTACACCTACACAACAACTTCTTTCCCACTTTCCTCCTCTAAATAAATAATATATGACAGGAGAGTCATCCTCTTGCATGTTTCCGCTGTCCATAGCGTTCATTGACAGTGTCATTTCAAGTCACCAATTTAGTGCTACTTGGTCCCAATGGAATTTCCCATTTGGAACCTACTAGCACTAAGTTGCTAACTGGTTAGCAAGATGTTTCTGAGACACCGGCCACAACCAAACTTGCTGGCAAATCTTCTGCCAAAACAATCCTGCCCCCTTGATAATTGACCAATCACATTCACTTTATTCACTCGTGTAAAGTCGGGCACCACTCGGGAGAATTCGGAAATTCAACGGTTGGAACAGACGTTTCCCTACAACCTCCAGTTTATTCCTCATTCCACTCTGACCAGCTTTCCTTCTCCTGGTTTGTTAAATAATTGCCTCAGTATGATACTAGCACCACCATGTGTCATGCTGAGGACTTAATGCTTAGATCAGGGCTTCACAGCCTAAAGAGGATGTATTTTTGTCACAGTATCATTGTGATATAATAAAATTGCAATTGCTATTATTGGTAGTTCCATTATGAATTTCTTTCAAATCTGTTAACCTTAGATCCTGAAATTGACAACCGGTTACTGTGTCCATGATCTTAAAGATAACAAACTGTTGTGAAAAAACACATTGAGGAGACAGTGGAATGAGCAAAATACGGATTTTAGCATTTGATATGCTGCAGGCCTGGTTTAGGAGGATGTGTAGGAGGACGAGGAGGTTTTTCATCATAGTTTCCATTTTGGCAAAATGCTTTATGGTAGGTTAAAAGCATGAACAGAGCACCTTTTTTTTGCATGCTGTCTCACATGGCTTCAGTCAGACAGTAAACATGACTTCTCATGGGGTTCTGTTGAAAGTCGTTTTTTAAAGAGGTGCACAGAAGAAACAACCGTGCCTGTTCAAAGCCCACTGGATTCTCTATGAGAGATGATATCAAAGTTAACATCTGTGAAATTAGATGAAAGAATCTGTGAAAATAATTCAAAATATTCCATTCTACAAATACAGGTTTTTGGTCTTAAAAGACTGTTAAGTATCCCAGAGAAACTGAAAACATCTGAAAAAGACAAAAAGTACAATTTATGCAACATTTTTTAACTGCTGTTTTTGTGAAAACGCAAAGAAGGAAATAAAATAATTCTCATGTGAACAGTTTGTGCCGGTGGTCACCTCTGTGTGATGTGTGATTCACTGACTTGTCATTGTGAGAGATGATTTACGAGTAACATTTGATTTCAGTGAAGCTTCAGTAGCAGCCAGAACTGAGCACAAGAGCAAATGTTTTTATTACAACTTCAAAGACAAAAAACATGGCTAAAATATTACCATGCAATAGATTCTTTAGGGATGCAGACAGAACGCTGTGTCTCAGACCTTTACTTTAGCAAAGGTTAAACAAATGCTAAAATGTTTCAGACCATCAGATGAAGGTTATTTTCTCATAAAGATGATCTAAAAGAGCTAAAACAAAAAAGAAAAAAAAGAAAACAAACTCAAATTATTTAATTCATTAGGGGAACAGAAAACATCCAAATCAACTGAATTCTGTCTGAAAAGGTAAATTGTAAAATAGATATTTTCAACCACTTTTTAGTGCCACCAGCCATGTAGAAGCCTGATTACTGACTGACTGAAAGGATTAAGAGATCACCTACAAAAAATGTACAAAACAACCCAAAGTAGGCTAAGAAATCTCAAAAAGCAACACCTAAATACATTTAAGACAGATGAGAAAAAAGGCATCAGCATTTATCAATCTGGAAAGGGTAACAAAATCATTTACAAGTTCTTTGGGATTCCAGTGAAAGCCATTATCTAGAAAAGAAGAAAACATTGGTGAGCCTTCGCTGGAGTGGCTAGTTTACCTAAATTATTGTTGAAAGGCCACAGAATTACCTTAAACTGGCCTTTCATCCTTAAACTTTTCAATATGGCTAAAATAAAACTGTTCTACAGGGAAGTCTGGCCCAGAGTCCTCCACAGCGTTGGTTGGGACAGCTTATTCTCCTTTTATGTTAAGTTTTCTTTCTGGAATAGCTTATTGTTGTTATTTAGTTTATCCTTAATATTTAAATTGGTTTTAATATTAGTAATATTTTACTATGCAAAGGTTCTTTAATAGAGCCTAGGCGGATGTTCAACTGAAGAAACTGATTGATCTCCTCCACGAAAGCCAATCGGCATCCAAAGTTCATCTTAAATCACCTCCGATCCACACTTGTCTGCTCCTGTGCGCAGGTGGTTGATGCGCTGTCTGACTTCATTCAGATGACCCCATTTCAACTCACCTCCAGCCCCTCCTCCACCATTGTAGGTTCATCAGGGTTTCATTCCTCCCGGACTCTTACTGTGTTCCCTGTTTCATCTCAACCGGTCCGGCAGAAGACCGGCATGATGAGCCTGGTTCCGCCAGATGTTTCTTCCCAATGGGGAGTTTTTCCTCTCCACTGTCGCTACATGCTTACTCATCATGGACAGGTTCTCTCAACCTGTGTTATCCAAGCTGGCCTTCCATCTTCCAGCTCCCTGAATGAAGCTCTAGTATCAGCTCCACTGGATCTCCCCATAAATCTCAGCATACCGCCTCACTAATCAGCAGTCTACAGACTCACCAACTTCATCCATCTCCACTCCACCACCAGTTTTAGGCCTGGGGGGGAAACAGGCCTATTCTTTGCTCCTGTTCATGCATATCTATCAAAATTAAGAGCTTTGTTACCTGCCGAGGTCTGAGCTCCAAAGACAAAGTAATTGTATCAATTAATTTCTTCTAATTGTCTTTTCTCTTCGTGTGATTTTATCAGATTGAAGTATCCTTACACCAGTAGTATATTTACTTCCTAGGAGGTATTGACGATGTTTAGTTAGCTATTTAAAAAAAATGTAGTGAGTTAAGATACAAGTTATTCTACATTTGATGAAACTTCACTACACTGAAGCTGCCAACCAGAGAAATGCAAAATTTTCATTTTGCAATGAAAGAAAAGAGGTCTTCAAAACAGACAGTTATATTTAAACTGCTGTTTCAGGGCGCAGAGTGGACAAAAAACTTGTGCTTAGATTTGTTCCTGACAAAAGAACAATATCCTGGGGGTAAAACACAGTTTTACAGGAACATCACTATTTTAAGAAGTGATGTTTTGAGAGGAAAAACACAAAAAGCTCCACTTTGCTGCGTCATTTTTTCCCCCGTCTCTGTGCTACAATAATAACCCGTCGAAAGGAGAATATGATCATCTACTAAATCATTTAGAGCCTGTGTAAGGACAAAAACCTTTGGAAAAAAGCAAAGGTCCAGAAGGATCCACTCGCTGTGTTGGCTTTAGTTTGGAAGACACTTTTACTTGTGTTTAGTGTGTTCAGCAAATCCAGGCATTGAGAGACAGAAAATGTGTGCACTGCTCTTCTCTGGGTATACGTTACGTCAGCAGATTATTTGAATTACACTCCAGGGGTGGGGGTTGATTTAATTAGGGTAAAAAAAAAAAAAGATGTCTTGATAATCTGCTGTAGTCACTTTATCGCAAACTGCTCTCTGGTGCCTGAGTATAGTTGTGAATGAAAATGCCCTTTCTTTAACAGTTAATATAAACGCATCTTAGGAAATTAAGCCAGTAGTGGAGTGAAAATGTTTGAAAAATCTAAATAAATGAGGAATTACTTTATATTTACACTACTTTACTTTTTCCGACACACTCCTAATTTTCTGTACACCTGAAGAGACTGTGTTAAATTTTTTGCCCTTAAGTTTTCTGCACAGATGGAGCAGCTTTCCCAAAATAGATTTAAAGTAACTGAAAAGGACAAAGTCA